GTAATAAGAAAAATATCAATATTATTACAGTTCATGAATAATTCCACTACTAATTCTTTACTCAACATTCCTCGAATATTTTGGTGCACCACGTTGATTACAGATAAACTTTTGATTCCATTATTAATTTGTCTATTCAATAGCAAGCAAGAGGAATCCTCTATTGCCTTATAATTCGATGCAAATAAACAAACAAATTATCAAATCTTTCCTTTTTATTATATTAGTTAGATATGTAATGATTATTGTAGAACAAAAACTGTTTTGAATGCTTTCAATCTTATTATATAGTAAACAAATTTGTAACTGTTTTATTCAAATTTCAAACGGATTGTGACCCGAGTCATTGTATTTTAAAACTGATTGACATAACAATGCAAAGTCCAAATTGCAAGAATTTTCATGTTGTAGAACCATATTGTAAAAATAGTTGCTTTTTAGTATTTATTACCTATAATAAGCACAACTTACTATTACTATTTTTTTTCTTAATTGAAATTGCTATCGGATATGACTTAGTGAAAACAGGTGTGCATTAAATTCTATTTCATTGAAAAAATTAAACATCGTTTCCCTAAACGCAAATTGCAAAATAACAGTTTAATATTTTCTATTTCATCTAGAAAGCTAGAATAACCCTTTTAGGTACAACTTCAAAAAACTAACACGCATTTCTCATGTACAACATCAAAAAACTAAAAATAACAGCCGAGGACTTTACATCTCTTTAAAAAGGATGTATTGTTAAAGTAAAAAGGTTTAATTAGTCCACATCATTTATAAAAGAGGGCTAAAGCTATTAGTCCATAATTAAGTAATTATGACATGAGATTACCATAATTACGACATGGGTATCAGAAATATAATATTTAAATATAGCAATCCTTTAATGTCACAGTCTTCCAACGGCAAAATGCATTATAAATTTTTGAATATTACCATCCACTAATTAGTTACAAAAAATCAATATTAAAAATAAAGTATTATGTCAGTTTTAGTCATATTAAAAGAAAAATTAAAAGATTATTATGAATTTATAAATTACAAATACAGGAATGTATTAACTAAAGAAATAACTCGGGCTTTTTATAATGCCTATGAATTGTTATGCCCTTACAAGGCGTCACATATACACGAACATCAAAATAATTACCATCTTATTATTTTAATGTGACATGCAATAAGTGATTTGATTTGAAATAGGAGAGCGTACAGTAGCTGAAGTGATTGTGAATTATAAAAACCTATCTCATGTTTCCCTATAATTACAAACACCGTATGGAAAATTCAGATTAACGCTATGTCATTATTTTATGCAATAATTTGGCTGTGTACGAATAAGTAGGTAATTTACGCAAGTGTAAAGGAAATGCCCGGTATGACTATATCGTGGCGTTGTGTAGAAGTATAATAATTCCATTTCAGTGACGTTCTAATGTCTCATGTGGTTTTAAAATAGGTAAAGTACTTGATGAATACTTGAATGTAATGTTGTAACATTATTCTGATCCTTATACCAAATGCATCTGTTTTTATAAGAATAGGGATGATGCCTGGGTAAAATAAGAAATTCTATTTAGTTCGTCATATAACAGAAAAATATTTGATAGGTACGTTTTTTTTATTGTTTGAATTCAACAAGAAATGGCTTAATAAATGATAGGCATCAAAGTTGAATATTGAGCGCTCTCTCGTCACAACTATGTAGAAAATGTACAAAAGTGTGATCTCATGTGACATTTATTTATTAACTCTATTTATTTATTAAATACACAAAAGTACATGTGTATTATTTTCTTTATTATTCTTTTATAATTAAAAAATTTGGCGTCGTCTCTATTCTGTACGCCAGAAAAAGGAAAATCAATACAATCAACAATTGAACAATTAATTGTTCAAATATATCGTAAGTAAACGAGAAAAAACATGTAGAACTTATCTAAGCCGCAGCAATATACAGGGTGTTTTATGAACGGTCAGTATGGGAAATTCTGAAACTATAAGATACACGAAGATCTGTTCTTACGAAACATGTCATCAGTTTTATTGAAAAGAAAAACTGCATTCATATATTTAAAAAAAACTAGTACTCAGTTCGGTAATCAAACCTGAAATTGAAAAAATATATATACATTATTTCCATTTGGATACCAATTATGTAGGTTTTGAGTAGTTAATATTACAATGAAACACGATGCCTAAAGGAAAAAAATGCATAACAGAGAAAATATACCTAAGTATTAGAAGAAAAATAATTTTGCGCGAGCGATAGCGCTAGATACGGTTGTTTCATTCGCTGTCATTTACAATATAAAATGCCGACCAATCATAAAAAAATTTACTTACTTAAATAATAAAACCTTAATAAAGTTCGAACTTTATGGTCGAATATGACGCTGATAAATGAAACTTTAAAAAAATAAAATACCTTAAGTCGATCTTTAAACATAACCTCTTAAGTGTGATTTCGAGATTACTGACAATTTGTAAATATTAATGTAACAGAGATGTATTTTAGTAATCTTGCACTGGCACTGTGCTAGCCTCGTGTCAGCTTACTCCTTTAAAATTAAAACTCAATAAATTCAGGCTTACTACACACTGTTTGAATTCATATTTGGTCATAACATAAATTACATGTATAAGGATTACAAGAATCAATGAAATTTTAAATTTTATATATTTTACTTATCTTAATAAACTATTTATTTTATCATAATTAAAATCTTAAGAAAGTTGTACTTGAACAATTTACACAAGATTCCATAGAAATACTAAACTGTAACAAACATAAACTGAGGGCTCGAAGTCTGCTTATTTTCTTTAAAAACTTCAAAAGTATAATAGGTTATAATATGTTGTTTTAAACTTTCAATAGTAGCTTTTTGCGGGATTGTTTTTTGTTGCGTTCCCGATATTTGATCATGGCAAGCGCCATAATCACGGGGTAACTGAAGGTTTTGCGGTTGGGTGTCATAAGCAGACCCCTTCAACCTGGAAAGGTCGCCCGCATCATCATTGCCACTGAATCCACTCAACGTATTCAAGTTAAGTAGCTTATGCTCATTCTCCACCGTTTTAAGTCCCTCCTGAAAAAAGTCACTCTTTTTCAGGCCAACATTTTTTCAGCCAAAAAGAAACACGTTAAGATGATAATCGGTATCTGCCTTGAAGTTCTGCTACCGGCTAATATTGACATTCCATCGGTAGTCCACTTCAGTTTCTGTTTGCAGTTTCAAAGATTACGATATAATATAATTGTCTCATTCAAGTGTTTCTAGAACAGATTGTCAATTATTATGATTAAGAGAATTATTGATATCTGAAAACAACATTGATCTATATTAGAAATATATATACATAAAAATCAATTGTTGTTCGTTTGTCTAGCTAACACTAGAGAACGGCTGGGCTGATTTGACAGATTTTGGTTTTGAAATGCTTTTCGAAGTTCAGGGAATGTTTAAACGGTGAGAGGTGATAGTTGTACTTGTACTTGATGACCCGGTGTACTTCACCGGGTCATCAAGTACAAGATAAAATATAAAAGCATAATTAAATACATGTATAGTAGCAATAGCTAGAGTGTCAAATGTAATGACAGTCGAGGTGGCAAGTTTCTTCGGGATCATTAAATACCTTTGAGTATATAATATCAAGGGAACCGTATATATGCAACTAAACACAAAACCGCGCTCTTTGCAATAAGTTTACTTGGTATTCGCCCAAAAAATTATAACAGTATTCCAAATAACATTAGAAGCTTTCCTCTTCCTTGTCCGGCCTTTTCCCATTCCATTTGAGGTCCGTTCTCCTTATAATGCATCTTCAGAGCATTCTATTCTCTGCCGGCTTTGAATCTTTACTATTTTTCTGGAGGTCCTTATTAATAGTGGAAATCCATGTTAGGCAGGGTCTTGCACGCTATCTAGGACTAGTTCCAGTCTCAAACACATTTTTAGTCATGTGGTCACTAGATCGTTACATAACATGACCATACCAACGTAAGCAGGACTTGGTCAGTTTCTCGCCCAATGGACTTACTTTTATGTTCCCTCTTATGTGCTGATTTGGGACCTTATCTGGTAAAGTGACTCCTATCGACCATCTTAGCATTCTCATTTCGGAGACACAGAGCTGGTCTGTTTGATATTTCGTATAATATATGAAGCTTGCCAATTAATCTTTTTTAAGAAGAGAAAATGGTTGATATTTTTTTAAGGGATTACTGAATTTTTGATGACAAGTCTATAAAATGTACTATTGCGCATGATTGAATTTTTATAACATCTATTATAGTAATTACATTATTTAATCTTATGGCGTTTCAGGATGTGGGCGCTTAAATTATAAAGCATCAATTAAATTTATAATGTATTAAAAATTGTTTTAGAACTAATTGACTATAGCTTTTTAAATTGCTATTTATGTATGAACTGTTACTAATTAAATATACACATGCAACCTTTATTAATCAAAGGTTGCATGCAACCTTCATCTTGAGGAATATTATTTGGGCTTTAATTTTTCACACGCAGACCATGACTATGATTGTAAATAAAAACACTTAGGATTAATTACTTTTTTATGCATACTTACCTACTTATAAAAGTCCCAAATGAGTAGTTTTGTAATTTTATTATGATTACGATTTTCTGAATGATATGAAAAAAATCACTAGGCGACCACATCCTAATCCAAAATTTTTAAAATGTGTCACGTACAGCGATATTATAATTGTAAGCAATAAATGTGTAATAGTTACTAGACGTTATATGATACGTCAAAACAAAATATATCAAACAATATAAATTACTGTAAACATAATTTAACAGTGACGTAAGACTCTCTCCATCCACTGAGATAAATTATTATCAGGTAACAGAATCCGCTCTAATCCTATGCCGTAAAGCGAAATCTTTCCCCGCTAAAACACGCGTCAGGCTACAGAGCACACGTCGTTGATAACCTTACAAAATTATCCTTTACGACTTAACGTTACGCGTAGTCGTTGTCACTCACATATCACAGGTTGCCGTATATAAAAAAAGGATGCTAACACGGACTTCGTATGAATCGCGTGCGCGCGCGCGGCCTGGAAAAATCATTCGATCGAACCGACCGCTAGCGTCGAGTCAACCTCACGGGAAGTGTCATTATGATGATGCAGCCTTGCCTTTTTATTTTGCTATTTTCTTCTTAAAGTGCCAGTGTTTAGTAGCGACGAGATGTATTGCTACGCTTTTCAAATTAAGAACATTACGTATTCGAAAATGTCGACGTTCATAACAATCAACCCTTGGATGATATGGATTTTCGTGTGATAGTTTTTTGTTTATTTTTGTTGCTGACTGAACTGTGATAGAAAAGTGATATATAATAACTAGTCAAGATGATGTCCAAAAAGCAATTGGCGTGCATGCTCGCGTTGCACATAGTATATCTGTTGGTTGGCGCCAGCATATTCTACCATATAGAGAGCCCTTTGGAGGTGGCGCAGAGAGCCGAAGAAAAACTGGAAAGACTTGAAATACAAAGTAAGTCATTACCGTCCATTAGATATTCGCGACATGACCTCTGTATTGATACTTAAATGATATATCTATGGGTTAACATATGGATATGAATTTGCAATTAAACACATTAGTGAACGACTGACAGTTATAGATTATTGTTTGTGTGCATAAATTAGAAATAATATATACTATCATAAATATAAATAAAATCATAGATTTCAATGACTCAATGAAATAGTAACCGGGCATAATGTAAAACTCTAGACTCGAAAGATTAAAAAGTTTTCGCGTCCTTCTGTATTTAATTAAAAAAATCGATATACTTACATGTTTAAAACAAAAATAGCACTCGCGAATGATATACCTTTCAGTAGATGAAATAATTTTAAATCAATCAAGTAGTTTCGGAGCCTATTAGTATAAATAAATAAAGGCTGCATTATTTTATTCCAAAAGTTCCTACAATACAACAGAAAAATCTAAGTCCCACTTATATAAAGCCCATTCCATTTGCCTGAACGCCCAAGACAATATTTGATTCGTATATTTTAACTTTAAACGTATTGGAGTAAGAATTAAGTTTAAACCGTTTTACATAATTACATAGTTTCGCACATGTGACCAACAAACAGCCTTCTAATAAGATAGATAAATTACATATAATGTACAGTACATATTTAGTAATATTTATTTGCGCCCGTGTCCAGTAAACATGTCGGCGTGATAATAATTCAAGTTCTCTATAAATAAGCCTTAAGTTTATTTAGTTGTAAATCTAAAATATATGTTGTAAGTTAATATAAAACGATCAATACTCCTATAAAGAGGTATGTTTGCTAGTTTGTTCGTAAAGGGCATGTGTATCTTCGGATAAACTCATACGATAATGGAAATTATTTCACCTACAAGAAGTTATATCATTCGGGATATGTCATCCGCGTATGATATAATTTACGCCGGCAAAGTTTGTTAGTTTTGTTATTCTATAAAAAAAAATCAGCGTCGAACGCAACGTCGAGTACATCTGTGTTACAGCTTAAATTCTAAACTCTAAGCGTCAGAGGTTCAATCAAATAAAACCGGACTTAAAGGTAATGATGGTTTTAAGTGTATAATTTCTGATTTAAATTATAATTTTAATGAAAAAGCTATTTCACGTTTTTAAGTGCAAAATCAAGCTGAACCGTGTACTTATAAATGATAAAAATATAAAGAAACCTGCAAAATAAATTAATATTAGAAATTTTTGCCTAGATTTTTCCCGCGACTACGCACGCGTCAATTAAGCCTTTGTAACCCGCGTATAATGTAGCTTCCCGTAGATGAAAGAATTTTTCAAATCAGTTGTCGGAGCCTATTCGATACAACAAACAACCAACCAAATCTTTCTTCTTTATTAGTTTTAATGCTAAAAAATTGTAAAGGACAACAGAAAAGACGCAGACTTAAGGTAATATAAAAAAGACAATTCTTTACATATATCAAGGAATTGAACCTGAAATCTCGCGGTTATCTTCTGATTACTCTAATGATACCTTAAACTTAATGTGTAAAGTAAGCAACAATATTAAAATGTGCAATTTCTTATTTGTAATTTAAGATTTTTTCTTCATATTAATATCTGAAAGATATTTAAGTGATTTTGTAGTGTGTGATTTCTTAGTTTCCTTGCATATTGGTGCCAATGCGATCGTCTCACTAAATTAAACTAAAAAATCTAATTTTATTCCAATTGATAAATTTCAGTTATTGAAATACCTTTGTATTGATAAATCCAATATTGTTCCATAATAATTCAATTTATTTAAACTTATGAATTCAATAAGACATTAAAATCATCATTTATTATCATAATAATCTTTGTCATAGAGACTTCAATACTTTTTTATAATACGTAGAGCTTTACTATGAATAGGTTTTAGGTTTCTGACCCCGTAGCGTAGAGGGTGAAATAGGATGAAAACTTTTATAAAATTATTTTCTTTTTGTTTTTAAAGTACGTATAATTATTTCATGTTTTATACAAATAATTTAGTTACAAACAATATTTATACATTTAATAATTTAGTTTAGCTTTACTTTATTAAATGGTGTTAAAAGTCTACTAACGATAGGCTGGTTAAATGCTGTCGTTTTGTTAAAAAAAAAACACCAATTTTTAACATACTTTCCCTAAAAAGCTACATTATTAAGTAAGATATAGGCTATATTCCTAAATTCTAAATTAAGTCTTTCCTCATGACTTCGTCTTTATAAATTATAGCCCAACCTATGCCACCAGCGTATGATACTATAGCTTTACTTAGGCAAGGTTTCATATTTACTTATAAAGAGATTGAGATGAAAACAAAAAAAGCTGCTAATCTGATAATAGTAGCTTACCGGATCTTTAACCAGCATATAAATATAAAAAACAGAATATTATAATAAACTAGCGATTTAAAGTTTTAATAAGAGAACGTTTGAGGTAGCACGTATTAGTTAGCGACGTAGTTACGGGACATCCCATGCCTTTAAACACAAATTCTTACTCATACATGTTATGTTGTGATCTGTTGTTTTTGAAAATGGACATCTTATCTACTGGGTACTATAGATATTTCGTGACGTTAATGTCCTCATTGAGACAGAGACCACTACTATGGGTGGTATCAAATAGGGAGAACGGGTAGTAGAGCATCACGTAGGCCAACTGTAGATTGGTCAGCCGACACCGATTAAGCACAAAATGTTTGATATAATAAATTTTTAGTCACCCATCCAAAGAACGGCTGACGAAATCTCAGACCGAATTAGCTCAGAAATAAAATCAAAAATACTGTCTGATAATTTTCGTTTCGACTCAGATAACGACTTAAAGTTGAAAATCAATTTATTTACACCACGATATGACAAATATCAAAAAAAAATTTTGCTTTAAATATCTATTAGTCATATGAATCGCGAAAACTATATAAAAGTAGAGTCTGCTATTTTAAAAGCTTTCTTTCTTTGAAAAAACCATCAGATATAAAAGCATGAAACGTAAATCATAAAAAAGCAATTTTACATATTATATTGGATCAACTCTGCATTATGAATCGCGAAAAGAAGATAAACGTAGGGTCTGATATTTTAAAAGCTTTCTTTCTTTGAAAAAACCATCAGATACAAAAGCAGGAAACGTAAATCATAAAAAGCAATTTCACATATTATATTAGATCAACTCTGCATTATGAATCGCGAAAACAAGAAAGAGTCAATAGTAACAAATGTTACTATTGTTTTAGACACCAGTTGTTTTCCCGCGACTTCATCTGCGTAAATTATAACCTATGCCACCCGTGTTTGATGTAACTTTCCGTAGGTTAAAGCATGTTTTATGTTCAGTTCAGTATTTCCGAAAATTACCTCTTAGAAACAAAATAATATTAGTATAAATATAAACCACAAAATATTTTATAGATATATTTACATTAAAATAATATCACATGAAAATAAGGATAATGGTAGACGATTACAACTCACGAGTGCACTATAAATAAGGCACCAATTCAATCTATAACAGACTGGAATCCTGACGCTACTTATAAATTAGCATCTGTATTTTTCTTTTTCCTGACTTAAGGATAAATAAATATCTAATGGATAATTACTATGCACTACATACGTTCCAGATTCCAAGATAAGTAGCTATAACCCTGTTATGGAGTATTTGAAACGACGAAGAATAAACCCAGACCTGAGAATACGAAAAGTACATTGATATTGACCCCGGGAATCGAACCCGACGTCTCTGAGACTACCGTGCGTAACGTGCCTCGTCAAATGATTCAAAAAATATATATGTTTTTACTAATACTATCTGAAATATTCTTTTGAACGCAGCTAGTTTCACAAACATTCATTAAGTCATTAATTTAAAGCGACATAACCCATGCAAAATTGACATTTATTAGAGCTTAAAGGCGTTAAACCATAATGGACTTTTGTGCAACTAGCCGATAGTTTATTTATACATAGTATAAAACAAAGTCACTTCCCAGTGTCTATACCCTGAAATCTTTTAAACTACGCAACGGATTCTATTGCAGTTGTCAGCAATATATAGAGTGACTCAAGAGGTAGGTTTATATGTATAATAAGGGACTACGCGGGTGAAACCGCTAGCGGAAATCTAGTCTAGTTATAAATCTTATGGTGATCCTTTAAGTCTAAACACATGAAATCTACATAAGAAAAAAGTCTTGCTGGGAAGCTTTATTTTTACAAAAACCAATAGAGAGAACCAGTTTAAGAGTTCCTAAAAAGAGATGCTACTAAAAATAGTGTAATTAGGTCTCAAATGAAGATTGTAAAAATAACATGCATATGTAATGAGGGTGCCATGCTAAGTCTAAACACATGAAATCTAAATAAGAAAAAAGTCTTGCTGGGAAGCTTTATTTTTACAAAAACCAATAGAGAGAACCAGTTTAAGAGTTCCTAAAAAGAGATGCTACTAAAAATAGTGTAATTAGGTCTCAAATGAAGATTGTAAAAATAACATGCATATATAATGAGGGTGCCATGGTCACTGCGTGACAAAACCCTCAAAGAAATAAAGAGATTAAAAAATTTTTTTTGAACGAAATTGGTTGTTATCCATTTGTAAATAGAGAATAGTTGTACTTTTATACATATATATTTGTATGAAAGAATTATTTTTCAATTTCTTCTCTGTTCAAGTAATACAAATATAAAACATATAATTTATTTTTATATTGACGTACAGTCAACATCATGTTAAGTTGCTACAAATCGTCACTGGAACTGGGGTGCGTCCGCTTACTCACTAGCCATATGATACGACATCTTATTTCGATAATTTCCGTGCTAAGGTTCAAAGGTACAGATGTATGTTAAGATGGCGACTGCCACCAACTGTCATTGTTAACTATTAAGATGGTTGACCTATTATCCCTGCGTTATAAACGCAGGGAAATTGCACCTTCAGCCTTAAACCAAAGCTCCCCAACGACGCCTCCATCTTGAAAAGGACA